ACCGCTCGGAAAGAGAGGCAAAACAGTGCATCTTGCACGGCGGCAATCTCGCGAGACATCTCCCGCGAATTACTCGAGTTCGCTCACTCTCTCTCTCTCTCTCTTTCTCGGGGCGCGGTGATGGATACAACCTCGTAAATTGTTTTAGATATTTCACGAGAGATAGATCGACTTTGTTCTCTTTGCGCATGTTGTCCTACTAGCGCTCTATTTTTTTCAAGCTTCTTGCTTTTTCTCCGGGATGAGTTACAGTGGCGAAGGAAAATTCAATTTACTCTCTCTCTCTCTCTCTCTCGTGCGCGCGAGCTGGTTGCTTTCTTTTTTGATGGATGAAATTGGGATCTTCGCACGCTCCCACGTTGCTAGTTTTGTAGTATCGACTACTTCTGCCTCGTAATACGACGACAAAAGAATTACTCTTCGCCCAATTAGTTTTCGTATATCAATTTCATCGACGACGCGACGATAATAAAAATCAGCACGAGTGCCAACCTAAAAAAGAGAAAACGCACGTCCCGCACAATTCTGCACAAAGCAATCAAAGAAGGGAGGGACAAAACTGCGAAGTGAAAAATCAAACTGGCACCGGTAGCTCGAACGAACGCTTTTGTGAGCGCGCCAGCTCGCGAAAAACCAGATCAGCCACGCGGGTTTTCGACACCAAGCGGAAAAGGAACTTTTTTTCCAGCCGTCGGTGGCGCATAGGGAGAGAAAGAGAGAGAGAGAGAGAGAGAGAGAGAGAATCAAGAAAGATGACTCTGCACAAATTGAGAGTTGATAGAGAGATTTTCAGACTGCGCGGAACAGACCGTACGTTTTGATCTTGAAAATAATGCTGTAGTACGGATAATAGATCGATGATTTTTGAGTGATTTTTTCTCACAGCTTCGAGCAGAATGTGATGGTTCAATTAGCGTCTCTAGACTGGAAGTTCAGCCTCGATTTATTTAATTTATACTAAAATAGAAACGGAATAAGCATCCACGGAAGCAAACTCACAACAGTTTGATCGGTTGAAAACAATGCAAAGTTCTGACAACTAAGAAAGAACCAAGAACCAGCAGTACTACACAGCTGAAAAGGTACATCAAGATAGCAAACGCGCGTTTGAAGGGGAGGAGGAAGCAGAGAAGTCAAATAAAAGGTAGAAGCATCGGTAATGCGATATGTGGACGATATGAAAAGCCCTGCGGCATTACGGCAGTCGATTGCCTTAAATTCATGGTCGTAACTCCTGTCTTTTTACCAAGTTGTTTGAATTTTTATTGAGCTTTATTGTCTTGTACGGCACGCATTTGAATACTGCAGAGTTTAAGCTTGAAAATGACAGCATGCTGCCAAAAAAGACTCATCAAAAGCAGAGAATCAATTGACGCGCGGACTGGAGGCGACAAAAAACAATTGCTCGTCCTAATTAAGCCCTCATTCAATTAATCGACACACGCGCGCGCGCGCACCCGCGGAAAGAAAGAAAGGAGCGGCCAATTAAACAATCGGGGACGGAAATCAACGAGGGAGGCGGCCGAGCCGTTAATTAAAGGATCGCGTCCAACTAATTATAAGTAGGCGACTTCCCGACGCGCGAACGGACGCACGACGACGAAATGTCAATCTCATAGCAATTTGTACGGGCGACGCAGTTCCGAAATTCTTGGCTGGCTAAGAATACGCGGGCTTGCGGTTTTGAGAACGGACCCTCTCAATTATTCGCGCAACGCCAAGTTCCATTCGGAAAATGCGCTTCTGGAGGAAATTTGGTTTGAACGCTGCCGCGTGACTGCAACCAACAGCTAAGTGGATTGGGCTCTGCCGGCCGGTGAGCTTCCCGAACTGAAATTATTACATGCCAAAGCCGTACTTTGCCATTGCACTCGAGCGAACGATCCAGCGAACAATCGAGTGAAATTCGCGCTCCGAAGCCGCAAGAACAAACATACTTGCGCGCGCCGATGGGCAATTCCAGGACGCCGGGCGCTCGGGCAACGAAATTTTCATGAATTCGGTTTCCGCGCGCGGCAGCGCCGGCCGGCTAAACACAGAGAGGACCATGCTCGCGCTTCCTTTCTTTCCGCCTGCTGCGGATCCCCGGTCCGGGAGTGGCCGCGCACAGCCTTGCATCTCTCGCACGGCGCTGCTGTGCCGCGAAACACGTGTCCGAAGCTGCGCGAGACGCGCTACGCACCAGCGCGCGCCGCGTTTGCTCGCCGTGGGAATGTCGCGGCGTGGGACTCGATCTTGCGAATCAGAAAGACCGTCGATTCAATGGAGCAGGCCACGCTGAAAGTAAAGCGGTAAACGACGGACTGCACGACACGCATAGCACGGCAGACATCGCTCGCGCGACAATCGACAAGACTCACTGTCCGATCGCGACACGACCACTCAAGCCACCCCGGAGGCGTTTAACGAAACGTGGCGCTCGCCGGCGGCGCGCACGGCCAACTAAAAGACGCCGCGTGCAAACTCGCTCTCGCGCGCACAAACACACACACACACATGTTTCGCGGGAAGGGGACAAAGAAAACCGAATGGGGATCTCTTCGGCTCGGCTCGGTAAGGCTCGGGCTCGGCATTTATACATGCTAACGGGACGGAGCGACAGAGAAAGAGAGAAAGGCCCCGTGCAGTGTTACACATGTGGGGCTTTACTATTTTACCTTTGCTTTTGTTTGCCGTCGTTTCTTTTTGCGTCGATGACGAAATACGTATGGCGGGAGGGGTCTCGGTTCCCGCATACACGTTCACTTCTTTATTCACTAAGGCCGTGCACGCGACTCATTTGAATTGCGATTGAACGTTTCGTTTGAACGATCCTCGTTCCGTTCCGTTTTTGTTCTTACGACGCCGAAGATTCAAGTTTAAAAATACAGAGCGACGAAAGCTTAATGCAACTCGACTTTGAATATGATTTAATTTGCAGAAACGTGGTTAAAGCTCGTAACAACGACAAGCTCTCCAGCTGTTATTTTTTCCGTCGCGTAACGAGGTCGCGTATAATACAATTAGTCCAGACCAGCGTGAAGGAGACTTGAAAGGACAAAAAGAGGGTCAGAAAGACAGAATTCTAGGGATTAACTTTTGCACTGTGCGAGTGTACAGATGCGGGGGATTACTTTGGGATTTCACTCGGGAAACTGGACAAGCGTGTACGAACAAGAAAAGTTGTCGAATATTGTTCGCGTCGCACAAACTTGATTAATAATTAGCTGGCCGCTCGCGGGATTCGTAAAAGCAGGCTCGGCGCGAAAACTCAGCGAGAGAAGGCCTTTCGCATGCAGGACGCGTCCGCGTAGTCGCGGGGAGCTGATAAAGCACAGCGTGCGGGCAAAAACGAGGAGCGAGGCGGCAAACCGGATCGCGGAGCGTCGGTAGCGCAGGCAACGCGATTATCCGATCGAGCGCGGCTCGCTCGATCTCGTTATTTATCGATGATCCTCGGCCGCAGCCGCGCGCACGGCCAATTATGTGATTGCTTGGGAACGACGCGAGCGCCCTTTTTGTCGGCGAGCCTGGCGCGAAACTGGCTGTTCGCAAGCTGAACAGGCGGACGCTCGAGTAGTTCGACTGGCGATAATCAGTACATCGTTGGCGAGAGCAACGGATGAATCAGGCCTCGCTCCGCTGCCGGCCAATATCGCGCGCCGGCGGTCGACGTCAAAGCGGCCGACGTCAAAGTTGGCCCGCGCGGTCCGAAGCGAACTCATCTTCGGCCGCGCCGCGCCGCGCCGCGCCGCGCCTCGATAATTAAGTAATTGGCCGCGCGCGAAGCGCCCTGATCAACTGGCCGCTCGGCGGAATTGAGCGCTAGATTGATACGAATGACCCTCCCGGCGATGCATTGTGCGCCTCGGTACGCTGCCTCGGTAGCTGATCAGTGGCTCTTTCTTTTGCGCGCAACGCCAAGCGCGGCGCCGCGCGGCAATAGTTTCGCAGACTTCGAAAATTGCCCGTTTGTGGCGCGCCTGAACTCCGTCTGCTTTGTTTTCGTTTGGCTCGAGCTGCACTGTTCGCGATGTGCGATCACGACACGTCGAATGAATATCATTGCGCTGTTTGCGCGGAACCATAGGCGAGCCTGAGCTCATTGGATCGGATTCTAATTGAATTCTCAGGATCCATCAGAGCCCGAGGGATCACAATGCATTGAACGAGTTTGTTATTCCATTGAAATTGCTCAGTTGCACGTCTGGGCTAATCGAACAAAAGGAAAACATTCTAGCGACAGTCACTTGACGCTCGCGAAGAAACGTTGATCGTCGATTGCCGAGCGATCATTCGCGATTTTCTCGGATAGCCATGGAAGGAGAAGAAGAAGAAGAAGAAGAAGAAGAAGAAGAAGAAGAAGAAGAAGATGGAGGCAGCGATATCCCCAGAAGCCACTCTTATTCGGTTATTATTGTCGTTTCGACAAATGGAAGCGCGACGAAATTGCTGCACGACGATAGCGGAAAAAAAAGGACGGCGATAAGAACGAAAGCGCTACCGTTGATCGTCTTATCGGCCTGTCCTGTGTGTTTGTCGTTGAACTCTTCCGATAGGGGGTTGATGAATTGATGGCTTTATGTAATTGGTGTTATGTTGGGAGAGCTAAAATTATCGTAGATAAGCAGTTATGAAGAATATGTTGTGGTTGTGGCCACGATAAGCATGTTAAAACATGAAGCTACATCTCTGGCTATTAAAAATGTACGAACGTTTACATTTCTCCTCGAAAATTGTTTCACTGCTCAACTCGCGTGCTCGTAATTCGCCGATAAATTGAAAATTCCCTAGTTAAAAAACTTTACTGCGCTGATTTCATGATTTGAAAACCGACTGGTTTTAGCGTTTGTAAATTCAGCCTTCGCAAGCAGAGAGCAACCAAGCGAATTATGAAAAAGTTTGTTTGCGGCGGAAAAAAAATTGGCACACGCTCAATTTTTCCGTGGACGCATTCAAAAATCAATGCTTCGCGTAGGCTTAGCTAAAGGTGCAAGATTATTGGATAAAAAAATACTCACGGTGGCTGTATCGTCGAGCTTTCGCTTCCAGGCGTCGCTGCGTTCGATCAGAGCGTTCCACTGCTCCGACAGTTTGTTCACTTCGCGACGAATACTGCGTGTCAATTCGCGCGCTTGTTCCTCGGCACTTCTGTAGCCACGCGAGTCGGCGTCCAAATCGCGACCTGCTGAGAAGAAAATTCTCTAATGAGGATTCAGCTGTTTCGTTTTGCTCTTTAAAACAGCGCATTACATCTTCGTAGCTGCCGTGATAATAGTATCGGCTATTAGCGCGGCTTTTACAACCTCTATATCGATACGGCTATGAGGGCCGTGCAGCGTTTGCGCTTGAAGGATGGCCTCAATTAACCGCTACCGGGGTTATTCGATAATGCCTTTCTCTCTCGGCTCGAAAACGTTCGCGCGCCACAGAGAATCTACAGGGTATTGCTTGCGAAATCGACCCTTATTCGAGAGGATTAAGTCGACTCGGAGTATTGATTTCGCAGCACAGAGTTTTGCTCGATTAAGCAAGTATGAAAACTCGATGTAGCCGAGGTTAAGGGCGCGAAATTCGACAGCTTGCTTCCAACGAACCCCTTGAGCGTCGATTGAAATTCCGAGTGGCTCGTACCCGTAAAACGCGAAAATCGCTATTAAAATTGAATCATCCGCGGAGTGGCGCGATTAGCGCGTCAACCCGTCCAGAATATATCCATGGTATACGAGTAGGCGAACGGGTGCGCTTGCGAATAAATCAACGTATAACAGCTGGCTACCAGATAGCCACGTTATCAATGCTAAACATGCGCGCGGTACAGGGGGGAAAAAAACTTGACTCCGAGATATCTCGCGTGATTCATTGACCAATTAATTGCTCGGCTTTGCATCTTGTTCGACGCTGCCTTTCCTACACGTTAATGTTTGCGTATTTTTCTTTCTTTTATTTTAGGGGGCAAGGGGAAGGAGGGTCACTAGATTCAAGAAAAATCTTTTAAGAAAACGAATAGATAACACTATTTCAAATACACTGCACGTCGACTAACCTTCGGAGTCCGATGTGTCGGACAGAGGTGGTTCATTGGCAATGTATTGCCGACCACTCAGCAAATTATTCTCGACAATTGGTCGCTTGTCCTCCAGCTGTCTTCGGAAGCCTCGGTGATCATCCTGCAATAATATTTCGTTAAGCTTACTTGTCAAGAACATTTACATATTATTTGCTGAATATTTTTTTACGCTCAAGTAATCTAGCTCTGTAAATATATACAATTCATTTCATAAATTGAATATTGTCATTTCATTGAGTAAGCAATTGATTTTTCGATTTTTCTTGGATCGGAAAAAATGTGTACAATACACCTAGTTTCAATTAATCAAAACTAAACTATAGTAAAATTAAATTTGGATAATCGTTGAATTTTGTTAGTGTGCATATTTGTGCTTAAAACTGTCTATATTTGTAACACAAGAAAGATAGAAAAATTCTCCAATAAAAAAAAAACGCGGCAACAAGAAAGTAACATTCAAAAGAAATCCGATCCAATGAGCAACACACTCAACGCTTGGAAGTATCCACCGAAGCGCAAATATCGACGACATGCACTCTCTTCCTTCAGTCATAGTTCCTTTTTTGCTCCTTTGAGAAGGAAAAAATCAAGTGAATTGTGACGTTGCAATTTTTTTTTCACCTTCCACTCTTTGACTAATTCACGCCACTTGGGCAATCAATCTTTCTCTCTTTGATGTCATTGCGATGATGCTCGTTTGGCACATACATATTTTTTCTTTTGCGAGAAAGCGAATTTTTCCGCAGCGTGAATTTCCCTTAGCTTTTGCACTCGAGTGTGCATACTCGAGACGGTTCGTAGGGAGTGGAAATTTCACGTTCTTTTTTTGCGAACAATGTTTTTCGTAAGCTCGGCGAGCTAGTTTTAAATTATTTGAGGGGCGTTTAGACTTTCACAGCGTTTTATATTCGTAAAATTATTCAAGTTTTTCTAAAAAATTCTAAGTGCTACTTCATAAAAATTATTCATTCAAATTCTGAATTACAAGCTTTTTGCGGGAGATGGGGTTGGAAGAGAAAGAGCTCGCGACGATACAACCATTTCGCTTGAACCCAAACACATGGGTTTAAGCTGTTTGTTTGCCGGGCATGGCTTAAATGCCGAGAATTCGAGCGACCATACCACTTCTTCCGCGACGCTCATTGGTCCCTCATGACACGACCTAATATTGCGAGGGTGTTTCCTCCCCTTCTTATCTCTTCCTCTCTGTGGGTTAGTATCGTGGGCAAGATCCCATCACCGTCACGTGTATCCTGCGTTGCGCTTTGACGAAGCCTGCGCTTGTACTACTGCCAGATGTATGAAACTAGTGCTATGAAGCGTTTCCGAGGAACGTCGATCGCGTGCGTGCGCTTGTGTTTGTACAATCCTGCGTCAGCGGCTCGGCAAGCTAACGACCGCAACAACGGCTATCGGCGTCCGTCGGCCTAGCCGAGGACACGCATGGTATACTCTGGGGCGTCTTCTGTCAAGAGCAGCCCGATAGGCGGCAACTCGGCCCATCGCTATCATTACGTCATTGCCCGTGACCAAGACGTTGACACTGCGTTACGAGAAGGAAGGAGGCGCCTTCCTTCTCGCACGAGATGTGCAAGCGGTGTCGCGCGGTAAGCGAGTAGCTGTTAAGTATTGAATGGCTATTGAATAATCTCTAGCACGGAGGATCAGGCTAATCGTGTCATCATTTACAAGTTACTCTTATATTTTCTTTATATTTTTCTTCTAATTAAATCATCTTTTCCCTTCTCTTCATCTTTATGCCGGCTAAATACCATTTCATTTTGAGTATTCGTTCATTAAAATCCAGTCTCATTTATTCCTCATAGTATCATTAATTGCATGAGACTTATATTTTCAGCTTTTATTGCCCTGATCGTCCAGAGTAAACATGCTGTGAAGAAGAAATTTACAAAGTAGCGCGTATAAAGAAAATTAATTTTTCCATTAAAGTCCTAGCTTTTAACAGAAATACCTTTGGCCTACGATCATAAAAAGGGCAAATCCTTAAAATCGAGAAATTAAAGTGAGCTTCAGCGTAATAAATCTGATTGCACACAAACGACCTAGAAATCCGTACTGCTTTGGAAGGCATTTGGAAGAAAGGCAGTGAAGCGCGCGAGATCCAAGAAAATTAATGAGCACCACAGAGATGTCCGACAGCGTCAGGCAGTAGATAATTTTTATTATTTCCGCGGCACACGAGTAATTAATGAGACGACCTACTGCACAATGATAGTGACCACTATCATTGCAAAGTCTTGGACCGCAATAAAGTATTTGCTTGGAAATATATTGGTACGTTAAATGTAAAAGTTGGAAGGTTGTTGAACTTTGACGACACACAACGAGAGAGTGTAAAGGAGCTTATGTCAGCTCGGCGAAAGCTTGCGTATGCAAAGCTTTCTTTCACTTACACGCGATAGAATTAAAAGTGTATTTTCGACAGAATATAAGATAACCTTGCGCTGTTTCACTGATTTTTCGGTATATTTTCACGTTTTCGGTTACTCCGCTAATATCAAATTTGGCGAATTCTCTCACTCGCGAATTTCATATGGGCATCGGTATTTTAATGAATATTGAATAATTGCCGTGCATTCAGCCGAAATTTCTATGCTTTGACATTGCAGACAAGGAAGGTTTTGAACTCATTCAAAGCGTTTTGATACACTGTTACTTGATTCAAATAGAATGTTTTAAATCTTTTACCCGCCGCACATACTTCGGTTGGACGAAAGGCGAATGCGAATGACTTTGAGTAAGTTTAAGAAATGAAAAACAAAAAAATCAGCATCGGCCGCGTGAAGTTTGCTGAGGAAGGTAAACACGCGGAGGCGCGAGAACTCGAACCAAGTAGCTTTGCGCAAAAAAGACGTTCCGACGTCGAATTATCAACGGAGGTAAGTGGCATCGTTAAATCATAGGTTCGTTAAACTTCATCGTCTAACTTTTACCGAACTCTAGGTGTATGCATAACGCAAACATTTCACTTTGCTTCGCAGCTCGAAATTCCTTAGCTCGTCACATATAGCCAGCGGCATGTCGCGGCATAAATTCACGCTCGAGTCGCAGGTGCACGACCACGAGTTTGAGTCAACATACAAACCGCCCGGGCACCCTTGTCGACTACCACAGAGGAAGAGAAGAGATAGTTTGAACGTCGCTGGAATAAGTGTGCAAGGCGCGAAGCTGCGATCATGCCGTTGCTGCGTTATTTACGATTTGGCGAATCGACGTCAGCTACACTTGGCGTTAAATGCTTGCCGTTTGTTCGAGTGTTTCAGCGAATTCATCAGGTCCAGTAGTACCAAGCGACTGTCACTCGATTTATGCGTAGCGTTAGCGTTAACGGAATCGTACGTTGAATGTCTTGCAGACTTCATAGTTTGAACTGCTCTAATTATACTCGTCGATTCAAACGGTCACTCGCATTCAATCGAAAGTAAAAGATTATGCGATCACAGCGATCAGCAGAATTTTAATCAATTTCTTGTTCTCTGCAGAAATGCAGCGCACCAGCAGTAATCACTTCATATGCGGATCAAACCGTTCGTTACGTCGCATTAATTAACAGATATTACACAGCATATATAGAGACGTATAAGCGGCTTAGTTTTACACAAACACGTTGTCATTATCGTTCGCGCACGAACGTCACTTCCAATTCCAATATTGAATTAAAATGTTAATATTATTATGTATTTGCAGAGTGGACGCCACGGTGCATTAATCGAATAGCACAAACCCTCCGCGCAGGCGTTTATTTTCGGTCCCGAGCAAATGTTATCATCGTATTAGTGTCTCCTTGAAAGTGACGTTAATTCTAACGAAATGCGCATCAGATGCCTTCTTCTTGATCTGTAATCGAAAAACTACCGTTTACAAATGAAAATAACTACTGCCATTCTTGATATCGCGGTTGAAGGACACAACTGCCTTTCGGAACATTCATCGGATACTTTCAGCATTTGATTGCTCAAAGTTATACCCAGCGAGCGTACGCGTTGGCTATCGTTGCTCTTCAATTTTATAATAAGTTCTTGGCACTAAAAATCGACCCGAGAAACTTAAACGAAGCTACAGAGCATCGTGTCTATTCAAACTGCATGCTGAGTAAAATGAAGTTTAGGTCCTTTCGACCAGCAGGTCTCTCCCGCTTCGCGAGTATACAACTTTACACAAGTAGCCATGAGGCGCCAGATAGAGCGAGCCATTATACAGCTGGGAGAAATCTCAAAGGTTGTCGATGCGAAAGGGCGAGTGCGCCAGTAGATATCTCAGTTTCAAGCCGCGTTACGACGTCATCACGCCTTTATATTAGATCGTTTAGCGCGCCTCTTGGTAATATTACGCGACCGTAAAACGAGCGCAGTGCAGGGAAGAGGAATAAAAAACATTTTTCTTTCTACGTGGTGCTAATTTCGCGCTTGAACAGGCAAGAACGCGCAAACTGTTACCTGTTGTTTTTGAAGTGCGGCCAGATCGCCGCACACCGGTCCAAGTCCTGTGAGTTCGGTGTCCTTGCGTATTACCCATTCGATCAGCTCTCGCAGCGATAGCAGCAACGCGTTCCAATGCTCGGTATTGCTCTCCAAACGATTTCTGCAAGGAAAACAAAGATAAGCATTTCGTTCTTGACGTTTATGCGACGTAGCCTCATTACTCCTTTTTCGCCTCTTAAGATAAATGACGCGATGCAATTTTTTTAGCGTCTCGATAAATTTAATAAAGGCGTTATATATACGCGCGAGCAATTCCGCGTTGGCAAAATATTGCTTTGTTCTCCCTCTCTCTCTCTCTCTCTCTCTCTCTCTCTCTCTCTCTCTCTCTCTCTCTCTCTCTCTCTCTCTCTCTCTCTCTCTCTCTCTCTCTCTCTCTCTCTCTCTCTCTCTCTCTCTCTCTCTCTCTCTCTCTCTCTCTCTCTCTCGCTTCTCAATATTCGTAGACCAGATATTATATCCCGTGCACGCGAAAAAGACACAAGAATCTCTTTGTTAATCACTGGCTCATCAAAATAACAGCAAATTATGTTGCATCAATGGTTGCGTTATCGTCAATAAATTACCCACCCTATAGCCTTATTGCCGGGAAAGAGCTATAATGACGTTTTATATTGGCTCTGCTTTTATTACCTCATTATCTTTTGGACCGCGTTCATTAAAATTTTCATCTAAATATTTCGTGGTCTAGCGATGCGACTTTCATACAACTTTTCCATCAGTTTACTAAATAGTCTGCTACTTATTTTCTTCTTCGATTTGCGAACTGAAGTTTCCTTGAGGAGAGCAACAAGGTAGCTTGAAGATCTATTATAGCATTGCTACACACGTTTGGGGTCTGAAAGAGCGATTAGAGGACGAACATATAGTCGCTGCTACGATGGCATTGCTTACTGACCCTTGCGCATAGTTTTAACGATGATAACGCGTTGAGCTTCATTTTGCCTGATGTATGTTGCTCGAATCGCAACAGTAGTCCGACAGGGGACACTTGCTATACTTGTTTTATTGTTTGCGCTTGCGTTTATGCTAGCTTTTCAGTCTGCTTTATCAGACTCCGCATATCAGACTCAAGTTATAACCGTGGGGGTAGAATTCCTGGTGTCGTTAATTGACTGTTTTATCATGGTGCTGCAGGAAATACATAAGAATGATTTATTGTCGTATAATGTTTCGGGTAACGGCCTTTGCTACAATGTAGATCTATCATATCTGTTTTTCAAAATGTAACTCTGAAAAATTCAACGCGAATACAGTATGCTACATTGAAGGTCAAGATAAGATTCAAATTAATGCAAGAGTTCTATTACTTGTCAGAATTGAGCTTCGGCTAGTTTTTCAATTTTTTAGCAAACACATTGGCCATCTTCGATTCAATGACGCAACTTACCATTTAAAAAAATTTGTCTGGTTATTCTCCAAAATGCTTTTTTAAGATCCACGGACGACATAAAGATTTTGATTATTTTCTAGTTTTTTTTTTATTCGGAGCATCGACCGTTTTTAACTCGCCTCCGATATTCATTTTGAATATTATCAAATAAATTATGAAAAAGTAAACTTCAATATAACGGATACTTTTACCATGAAAATTTTCGATTAGAAGGAAATCAGATGTACTTTGAACAAATTCAATTTGAGCTGATGAACAGTAAAACGTTGATTCACACAGAATCGACTATACATTTCAGTTACAAAATAATTAACGGAAGCTCGCAAATTAATAGTTATCTAGTTCTTCGAAAATGAATAATTCGAAAAAGATAATTAAATTTCACTTATGAATAAAATTTCCAAAGCAATGTCACTTGATAAAAGCACAATCGAGCAAGCTCATAAAAAAAGCCTTAGTTACCAAAAAAAGGCCTTGAAACTTTAACGATTCTTTGAATTGTCGAGCGGGTTTGGTAAAAAAGGAGGAAGCCGTTGATAAATCATTGGTTCGCAAGTACATTGGCTTTTCAACGCGCGCGCAGATGTCGCGGCAAGACAGACACAATCGATTTGGCGTCGTCGTCAGCGGAGACTCCATCTGCGCGCGCCTGGCAACTTCGCAATTGGCGAAAATAGCGCGGCTCTCGATAGTCGCTCGCTCTTCATAAAGAATAAATGACGAGCTTACCTCTCTCTCTCTCTCTTCAACCGAATTTCATTACTCTCTAATCGAGGAAATTTAATTACGAGGCGAATTCGCCAAAAGGCGCGCGTACCGACTTGTGTTGGACATTTCATTCGAATCGATAGCTTTTCCAAAAACAGTTTGCCCAAGCATTTGCCGTGCAAATTCAGTTTTGGAATTGATGGATAGATTACGATCTATCATACTTAAACACGGCGAGTGATTGATGTCTCCCTCTCTCTCGAATATAGTAGATCAAATTAGTCGCCCGGCTAAAGTTTAAACCACCGGAGTTAAATCACCTCGTGGGATTCGCAAAGTTCCTGCACCTGCGAGACTTCCCAGAGGTGCGTAGCAATGCCATTCAATTGAGCGTCGTTTAGAAAAAATTAAAGTCTTAATGGTCAGACTGGCGCGCAGACAGAGTATCTTGCTAAAATTCGAAAAGCGCGAGCATTAATTAAAAGCCCAGCAAGGAGAAAGCGCCTGGGCAATTCAAAAGTCACGATGTGAGGAAATCAAATCAGAGGCACTTCCCACGCGCAAGAGAGAGAAACGGCCTTCAAAGAGAAGTATTATTCGTAACTCAATCTGCGAGCGTAGAAAGCCGTTAATTTTCACCGGAAGGGAATATTTTTTCCTTTCCTGCCTACCCTCTGACGAATTAATTGATATCGATTTCGTAGATAAATGCCGCATTGCCGCGCTGGTCGCTCTTTCAAATTATAAGCGAGCTTCGGCCAATATAAATGGAAATTCGTCGCTGTTATGACAACATTTTTTCCCTCTCTTTCTCGCGGAGCTGCCGATAATAAATTTAGCCGCCGACGCGCTCATATCCGAAGGAGCAGAGTGGGCAAACGCGTTGTTTGCCCACAACGTAACCGATACTTCGTTATAACGAATAGCAATTATAAATTTTGACTTCTTTTCACCGATAATTATCGAAAATAAAGCAGCTGGAATGGCAGATGGGTTTGAACGGTGAAAATCAAGCATTTTCTTTATTATTATGTGTAGGTATTGGCAATATCCTAATAATAATAAGGTGCAGCTGTGTTTCAAACGTGCTTTCATGGCAAATTCAATAATCTTAAGGGAAAGCTCCGCAAAGCCATCGTGTGAACATTAAACGAAATTAATGCCGGGCGTGATTCTAAAATCAGAATGAATGAAAAGCATTAATTAAGATGCGCAATGACTTGATGAGACGTATAATTGAGATTCTTGAATTAAGGACAAAGAAAATTGAAGCTTATTCCAATGAAAGGAGCTTTACAAGAACGTGTCCGTTAGGATAACTTGTACACAACAATAGAGAGAACTTTGGAGGTTCATTATTTAATCCAGACCGGTTCCCTTACATCAGCACGGCGAGCATCATTGTGAAGGTAGAAAAGTAGCTCGGAATTATTCAACTGGGGAATGTGCACTCTGTCTCTGCCGAAAAGTCTTAAAAGTTTTCCACTGGCACGAAAACAATGACAATCGTCCAGCGAGCAGAGCCTTCTGCCCAAATCTTCCGGTAAATTCACTCGATAATTCACAACTAGAGGGGGATGCATGCCGAGCAAAGTTTCGAGCCACCCTGCTAGGCTGCTGCGCGCAAAAATTGTCCTGTAATCCATAAAAGCCTACTTTCAACGTTAAAATATTAATGCGAACTGGCGCCGCTACGGCCACTTGCAAGATATTCACGAAGCTTAAATAATCGAAGAGGCTTTCGTTAATTGCCTTCAACTGATATTAATCAGAATAGAAAGCAGGCTCGTAAAACGTCGGCGAACGGGAGAATACGTCATCGTTAAACGTTGATATACGCGTATCTCGTAAAAAAGTATAGCTGCGCAACTACATCATTTCCAGGGTACCACATGAGCTGCGCCACCTGGCTCGTCGCGTACATGTAGCTTATCCAAAGGAAGACATGTATCGCTGCACGCGGCAGGACGTAAAGTGCATGGGGATTTCGCCGAGGAGAGATGACATATATACGATGTTATACGGGTTTGACTAGACCAGAGAGAGATTCAAGATGATGATCAACTTATTTGCGGTCCAGCAGATTTATTCGCCACGTCGCTCCCGGGCACTCGACCACGCGGAAACGATACGTATCTGATTTATTGTTGTTTATTCTATCGCGTGACGAATGGCGACAACACTTTTCAGTGCGCCCAAAGAAATGCCCGACAAAGCAGACACGAAGAGCCGCGATAGCACTGGACGTCCAGTGACAAAAGTCGGCATTCTAAGCCTCATAAACAATGCACTCTTGCTCTGAAACAATCATAAACGACGGCTTTTTTCTTCACTTCTCTCCTCGTGCGATTATTTTTCCTCGCGTTGCATTCATTTCTCCGGCGCGTTTATAACGACCGCGCGGCCGCGAATCAGCGGGAATAATTAAAGACGCCCCGCGGCTGCCGCCGCTGCACTGCAAAAGCGTCAAGAGAGACTGAGGGAGAGAGAAAGAGAAGGGGAAAATGTAAGTTAATGTGTCAATGCAAGAGGGCTTTTAATGCAGCAAACGTGCTGCGCTGATAAGAGTCGGAAATGCTACGCGCTGTTGTATAGTTGCTTTTCCTTTTCTATGCAAGCGAGTAAGTGAGTGTGATAAACGTGTTGTAGCTCGTGATTTTGTTCATAAGTGGGCAACAAAGTTGTTCTTTCAGTGCACCAATTATGACAGTTTATTGGATAACACTGCAATTTTGCTCGCGCACTGCAAATCAACTACTCGATTTAATAGTACGACTTTACTTGTACAGCTCTATTCATTTTTATCAAGATAATTCATTTAGCTCGCTCAAATTATATTCTATTCATTACAATAAAAATAAAAAGATAAGTTCTAATTAATGTATTTGAAGATATTTGTGAGATTCTCCACCTTACACCGGAAAATTGATTTTCCATCAATTACACTCTCAAAACTCACAAGAAACAAAGGCTTCAAAAGTACGCTCGCTCTCTCATTGAATTTTCCGAGTAATCAAATTCTCTCAAATTCAAATTCGTTGAATTATAAAGGAAAAATATCAGAACATTCTCTCGACTCCAAAGCTGACCTGACCCTCACCAAGCTAAATAGATAAATAGGCGCAGTAAGCGGAATTTGAAAAAAAAATTGTAGATTGATCCGGACTCAACTCTGCGCAGCGAACGTCTATGTATTATTTATACGCGACTGAGGGCGCGACGCCTTCGTTTTTCCCCGATACGTCGGAGATCTCGTGCTTTATTCCATTTCGTCTTTCTTTGTTGTTTTATATCAACGACGAAGGGAAAGAGAGAGAGAGAGAGAGAGAGAGAGAGAGAGAGAGAGAGAGAGAGAGAGAGAGAGAGAGAAAGAATATGAATACTGTCTACGGATAGTTTCCATCTTTTTGTTTTGCGTAAAGAAAGTGTTACTAAAACGAAAGGTCTTATCGGTATGAAAAAAAGGAATATAAATTTTTCAGTCACGCTCTGAAAGAGCCAAACGGAACTAACTGCACTCAACTCTTCCTCCCGTCGGGTGTATATGTATATACATATACATCCATTAACGTTGGAACGCAACTCAATTTAAAAAAATGCTCGCTAGACCCAATTTCCTTTTGCACTTCTACTACTTTGGTCGAAGGTATTTTAGCCATTAAGAAATCTTTCTATTTTTCCTTTCCGACGCGAATTCATCGCGGAAAAAGGAAGCAAGCACAAATTTTTCGTTGCTTACGAGTATAGCACACTTGCTGAAAGGGTGCGCGAAGTGCGAGAAAGAGAGAGAGAGAGAGGGAGAGAGAAAGAGAGTAATTGTGATACGTAATGGAAAGTGCGATATTGTTGCTGGTCTGTAGAAAGGGAAAGAAAATTTACGACTCTGCATTTTCGAGAGTTATCTTATTTTTTACGAATTTTTTATATAAATATATAGATTTTAGAATGAGTGAAATTTTCGCAATGATTGAGCAGTTATGATACAGTTTGAAGTGAAAAATATTAAAGCAGTTATCATACAGTTTGAAGTGAAGAATATTAAAGGAAAGTGTATCTGAAAAAGAGCGCTACTTTAAAATAATGAATTCATCGAATAGTTGTAGTTAAATGTACACCGCCTAGTGACAAAATATACAATTGATACTTAATTAAATGCAAATGATTTGTAATGATTTTTCAAGACTTTCAAATCAGTACACTGAAACTTAAATATACTCTAAATAATCTTAATAATGTCTACGACAAACGTTCTACATAAATTTTCAACTAATTACATTACATTGCACGCATTCCTCGCCACATAGCAAAGATACTATCTAATTATCCAGGACGACGTAACAGGTAGTAGTATAGTACCTTAACGCACAAACTCAAGTTACTCGCGCCTCTCATATCAACAATCCTCGGAATTCGCATCTGAATCACTTGAAAGAGAAAGAAATGCTGCAAAGAATAGAGAGATAGTTCAAGTTCAAACCAAGACAGGGAGAATTCCGACTTAATTACGCTTGTGAGCGAGACGTCGGGGAACTTTGTCGATCGAACAATTTCAGCGATGCTCGTGAGCGAGTGTGTGTGTGTGTGTGCGTTGGCCACTGGCGCAAATTCGCAAGCCTTTGAAGCTTACGAAAGGGAAGGGGCAAGGGGGGGGAGGCTTGCTCAAACATGCCTAAAACTTACCGCTTCTGAGAGTCGAAACTATACTCTTTAGCTTCTTAACGGGCATTCCGAGAAGCCATTTTATGCCTTTTGCAAATGAGCAAGTTTTGGGTGGAAGGAAAGACATTTATGCATAACAATTTAACATACCTGATGGCCATGCTCTTAGCCTTGAGATGATGCCAGCGTTGATTCATCTCGTCGAGTCTCCGCTGCAACATGACCGCATCGTCCTGGCTTGCTAGTGAGCTTAGCAGTTTGCGACCAGTTCCGTTCAACGATGCGTACACGTCCTGGTGAGTCTCGATCTCTGACTGCAAGTCCTGCAACATTTCACATTCCCGCTTACGTTAGCTATAATCTTACACATGCCTTGGTGTCGACTGAACTTGACACTTTGATTTATTAATTGCATATCGCGCTGTATACACAGCTTATGAACAATTTTTTTAATTTTACCTGGCTGATCGAACATTGGCTCGTACTACTTGCACTTCATTTTGAACAAGTCTACTGTTCGATTTGCTCGGAATTTTAATTAAATAGACCGAATTAATTGAATCGGAGAATTTTAATACGATTAAGGATAACTTATTTCAAAATTATAAATAAAATTTTCAAGGTGAATATTTTCCATTTTGCTACGGCAATCAAACGATCAACAGATCAATACTATTCTCTAAAATAAAATCTTCGACAGCAGAAAATATCGAAGCGTGAATGGATGGAGAAGTCGAGGTCCAAGCTCTTCCTCTCGCATCACTTATTACGTATACTCTCGACGCTTCTCGATTATTACTCGGCCGTGTACAGAAGGAAGCAGTGGAATACTCGTTTGCGAATGGATGAATCTCTCCGATTTATTGAGATTTTTCACGACGCCATGAATTTTTTTTATTATCCATAGTTTCTTCTTTTCTTTTAGATTTTCAAAACAATGGATTGCCGAAACATAGAAGTAAACGAACCGTAAAAAGATAAAAATATGGTTAGGTTGTATTTTTTTTTTATTGATTTTTTTGTTAGTTTATCTATAAACGAACGCAATGTCGATTATTTTTTAATTCGTTTGGAAATATACACATTTACATTATAATTGATTAAACGCAATCAATTTCTTGAGATTGATTTTGCGAAGTCATCTAGCCAGCAAAAGGTTCAAAATAAAGACATACAGTTGCAAAGATCTGAAATAAGTATTGCCTTGAACGGACGAAAAAGCAGGCGATATTACCTGCTCGAAATAACGCAGCTCGGCGATAAGCGTATAGGACAGATAGATAAGTCGCGCATCCTCCCAGTAGTAGCTGGACAATCGGCGATGCTTAAAGCTCGACGTTGGATTGAGGCAGTAACGTGGTCTTCGCCAGCGTACACCTGGCCAAGTGCCAGCAAAACCTTTACCAGCGACCCCATAATCCACTGTGATCACGTAGCCAAGTAGCATGATTGTACCAATACTTTTATCATCAAACCTTCACAATTTTCCGTCCGTCACGAAATCGGATAATTCAAAAAGGCATAACACCAAAACTGCCCTTCGTCGTCGCCGAGTTCATCGTTCGCTCGCCACTCCAAAGTGCTAAGTCTCTTTAATCAACCGCGCTGCCTGTAGTTCTGTCTCGTCCTCTCTCGCATGAGGAATATGAATGCGAATGCAAATGCGCAGCTTCCGCTCTTTCTTTTTTTTCAACGCTCGTTTCATTGTCGATCACATTGCACCATTCACTCGTTTGTTACGCGCTTGATTTATCACGTCGGTTTGTTTCGCCGAAGAATTGACGCTTCACAATGGCCGGCGAGGACTCGTTACAATTGTCCGGCTATGTGTCTTCTTTTTTTCGTGCCACGATAACTCGAAAAATGGAACGCGTTGGTGTTTATTTTGAGAAAAACAGTTCCTTTTCCGTTTCGAATATTATTCCAAAAACGAAACAAATAAATGGAAAAAAATCGCGTAAAACGACCGTGAACGCTCAAGTGCATCCTCTAAATGATATCCCGACTCGAAACCTAATTCCCTCTCGTTAGGGTTAATTAGCAGTATAACCGCAGACGAAAAACACACACACACAACGATCTCCCACTTTCGATTAAATTCTTTCTCCAGGGATGTACCAGGACCTCTTTTTTTTGTTCTCTCTCTTTGTACGCGAACGAGTAACCAGACGGATAAGCGGTAAGCGGCTTGCGGCCGATTAGCACGACGGCGACGGACGAACTTTCAGCGGTTTGTACGGAAAGTTTCGCTACAGGGAATAATTCCCTGTTGAGGATTTCTCTTTTTAGCTGTTGCTACTGCTGCGTCTAATTAATCGTCGCTGAAATTCTTCATTCAAAACTTCCAATTAAGTTTTGAGTTATTGACTTTTCTTTTTCGCGCGGCGGCTCTTGTTTTTTCGTTATACTTTTCTAGTAGGTAAATAAAATCACGACTATGTAGGTTACAGTTCAAGTCACGCGAGCTTTCATTCCGAATGAATCTGCATATGCAAAGTAAATTCTTTGAAAACTTGGCTTGGCTAAGAGAAGTAGGCTTCTTTTTCCGTGTGCTCGTTCGGGCAAGTAGAGGCGTCGACAGCAAGTTATTTATTAAGGATTCTGAATCGACACCAGTCAATCGTTGTATAAACGCAGCGCCGCTTTCATTGAAGCTCGATTGCAAAGCTTACTTATGGCAATTATCGCGTAGACATTCCGAGATCTTCATAATATAGCAGTGCGTGTGATGATAGCGTATTAAATGTATCACACGAGCCACAATTAATCCAGTTTACTACTTTGTACGTGCAAGCGCGGATTATTAAATAAATTGCAACGGCAACACTGTCGCTTGAGGCCAATTACGTAAATGTAGATGATATTAATTAGCGAGAAGAGATGATCTGCAACTGACAATCCTTTTTTCTAGTTAAATGGTGATTGTCCGACAGATTTGTTAAGCTGAGTTTTAGAGACTCGTGATACTAATGAGCTAACAAATTTTCTTTATCTTTTGAATAATGCTGAGGTGAATTTCGTAATAGCGTTGATTATTACGCCTTGTTACAAAGTTCTTGGGCAAGCTTCGACAAATATATCGCATATGTTGGAATTCCAATGGCCATTATAACGATCTTAAAACTCAACATCGATTTAAGCACTACAAATAATAAGCTGACTTTAGGATGACACGACATCTAATGGCCAAAACATTCACGCACACGTTCCAAGTATGAATTTACGATCGGAATAAGAATATGAAAAGCTATTGAGACAAAATAAAAACAAATTAAGAATAAAATTCGAAGAGCATTATCATCGAGAAGAGGAAAATAAAAAAGAAGCCTGAAAAAGACGTAACACCGCGGGCGCTGTAAGGGAAAAAGGATCATTCAAAAGAATCAGAGCTGCAAGTGAAGTCATCGTCGTCTACATTTACTACAGACTTATACATACATATATACATATATATATAGGTTCGGAAAATCCGTAGCTTTTCATGGCTCTCACCGTGTAAAGAGGATTTTCCGCTTCATAAAACGAAGCGACAGGCGAGTGCTTGCCTACTACAAGTGAGGCAAGGGATGATAATTTTTTTCCCTACCGAACGGAAGTGACGACTGCTCGTACACAATTAAGCGAGCGTCGAGCTGGAAAATTGACGCTAGATTTATAACCTCGAATTTAACGTTCTCGCACTTACTTTTTTTTTTATTGTCGCAAGAGCACTTAATGGGATCGCTGATGGAATAAAATTTACTTTTTACAGCGAGGCAATGATTTCCTTTCTTTTATTGCAGATTTGCAATGCAGATTGTCGGATGTAAAAATCTGACAATCTGCATTGAATGGAATGAGATAAATGAATCTTGTGAAATGGAAAATTATGAGGTGATTTTGAAATGAAATATTGAAATTTTAGTAATAAAATCATGAGCATAATTCAAAGTATCGATGTATATTTGACAATTCATCGAAAATATTATAGCTTGATAAGTCCGCTTTTTGATTTAATTTAATATTTGATTCAGCGTCTGACACAGTGAGCTAGCATTCCGCAAATATCCAGCAAACCGAAACATCCTATGAATTCCAGGAAAAACAGTCTAATTAACAAATTCCACCCTAAATATCGCACATACCATCGTCCACTTTTTTTCAATTTCGTCGACATCACTCCCAAGCCTGTACTATCGATCTACCTGTCCGCGAACATGTAGTGCACGGACTTTGGTCGATTCAGTGATGGAGGCACGCGTGACGTTCGTCGTCATGCTTCATTGTGTTCGGTCGTATACCGTGCGCGAAAAGCCATAAAGTCAGCTGTTTGTTGTACGGCGCATATACTGTCTGCAAAAAACGCGCGAAACGCCACTCTCGCTCTCTCTCTCTCTCTCTCTCTTTCGCAGCACCATTAAAGCTTGTAATCGCTTTAAGAGAGAACAGTTGGTATATCAATCGCTGGCAAACTTCTCGAAATAGAGTCTAAATATTGGAGCAGCGCGTTAGTCAAAGCCCTTGCGGCACACAAGCGAGCGGCGTTGAAGCGTCGACTCCGTAGCCAAGTTCTGCGGTTTGCCGAGCCCTGCACTTCGACACCTGCGAAGATCTTTTTGCTCGAGTCATTCGTTTGGAGCTTCTTCGTATTGGTCGATCGGACTAGAAATCCGATACGCAAAGAGAGATTGGAAGAAAATTGCAAAACCCTGCACGAACCTAAATGTACAAGAAAGGTCGCTATGGATGGTCCGCGATTGCCGAAAGGGAGAGGTCCAAGAGTCATCTTCATGCAAATTTTAGGGAAGGAACGCATTCGGACCTCTTGCATCGTTTACGTTTTACGACGCTGTATGACGTTTCTCATGTTACGATCGTGGATTTTCCTAGGGTGCTGGTGTACCCTTGTGGCTGATTTACGTGAACATTAATTTTCAAACAACTAGATATAAGAGTTTCCTGATATCTAGTTGTTTGAATGATGATTGAGTATCAAATAGCTCTTTTCGTGCTTGTCAAGCATAAGTTGTTTAACGATAATCGAACAAAACAACATTACTAAAACCTTCGTATTCGTCATTTATAAACACTGCATTAACCTCGATTAAAAGTCATTTAACCGCGAAAAGATAAGGCTATTGCAACGAAATCTCGAAACAAGAAAAAAATTAAAAACTAATATTTTATATAGTAGAGCGTATTCGCAATGTTTAAATAATGCTGAGCTTCCACGAAAGCTCATTTGATTTAGCTCGAAGCTTCCAAGCTGACCTGTGAGCTTTTCGAGCTCCCGAGCGAGCTTCAAAGCTCATCAACTTTGGCTACTAAAAAATTTTCAAAGAAA